ATATATATATATATACATACACACACAGATGTTGTGTTTTGGGTATTAATATCCTGTTTAATTGCAATTATCATTGTTATGGCCATTTCTGTCAATAAAGGTTAATTGACTCAAACATAAAAATTGTTTTCTATCAAATATGATGTGGTGTCCTCTGCCCACACGAGTAATAAATATTCAGCGTAGAAGAAATCAACACCTATAGGTGTTCTGTGATTAGAAAAATAAAATTCTCAGTACTGAAGTTTCAAAGATTGTTTATGATAGGAGACTGTGCATGACAATTCTCCCATCAGCCTTAAATGCATGTCAAACAATTTAAAACCTTAATTTCCTTGATTGTATTTTATGACTTTCTAAGGAGATGCAGGTACCCTGGCTGTGTTCACACATCGAATTCTCCTGAATTTCTACAGACTTTATACAAGGAAGCCAGACAGAGAAAGTCAGCAGAAACTATGGAGCCTTTCACTCTGACATTAGCCTTCACACATGCACCTCCTGCACATAAACATAGCAAACAGCAAAACTTCAAATATCTCAGGATGAAAAGGCAGTGCCACACACAAAGAAGACACAAACGAAGATGTCAAGAGAGGTTTTTACTATAAGCGCTGACACCAGTGTGTTGTATAAGAAAGCATGTGATCTCTGCATCAAAATTGCTATGTTATGTCCTGCCTCTGCCTGCTGGGCTACCCCTCACTTAAGATTAAGATTGCTTTTTATTATCCCACAATCATACAATCAAACACACAGCACTACATGCAACATGGGGGGGGGGACCTCTGCATTTAACCCACCCATGTGAACACAGCACACAGGGAACACAATACACACACACTTGAATGATTCGTAGAGTTCCCATGTTGTGTACGTGTCTAAGCGGTGTATCTCCCGCTTGTTCATCTGTGAAAGGCAAAGTCGGGACAAAGTCCGGAGCCAATTGTGAGGTCATTCTCCAGAGTTCATGTTTGAAAATGGCTGTAGACAGAACATAGTGTAGTACTCATCACAAACACTTGTTATCAGTATTGAATTAAGGCATTAACATTACTTTGAGAGTTGATTGTCAGAACGCATCAGCACAAGTATATCTGCTAGACGTAAAGAGGAGACATTTTGTAGCAGCAGCAGGCGTTAGATTAAAGCCATGCTCCCTCCATTTTCACTACACTAACCACCCCACAGACAGACAATAAATTACAGGACGGGGAAAATAATGCGGAGGAACGTACAGGCTGGCAAAAACACATGTGATGCAGAGAAAGGGAACAGAGAGGTGAGATAATAAATAGAGTAAGAATGATGGAGCATCGATCGTCCACGTCTCTCTCTATGCAGTGGTAGTAAACAATTAGCAAGGAGCCTTTGTCTACAGTGTTAAACCACACCCTCCCCCTCCCCTGGCTGCCTCCCTCGCTCTCTCACCCTCCATTTATGTCTCTTACCTGTTTTCAATTCCTCTTTTTTTCTAAACTTGTTTTCTTTCTGCTATGGCACATTTCCACCTATCCGTCTATCACACTGTCTCGCTTTGTTAAGCTATGGCGCTAAACTGCTAATACTAACGAGCCACTGCTACTACATTCTAGCCAATGAAAGACAGACATACAGACTCATACCTTGGCTGGTAGTAATCCACTCCTTTACTAAAACCAAAGTCCACTGGTGAGCTTTTCAGTGTAGCTTCTGATGGCAGCGTTGCGCTGTCTCTTTCACACACGTACTCAGCCCCTCTCTCTCTCACTCACTCACAAGTAACTGCCCCTTCCTCTCTCTCGCTCGCACGCACGTACTCTTCCCCCCACTCTCTCTCTCTTACACATACGCGCGTGCACACACGTCGTCATTATCCGTTTTCACACAAATGTGCATTCAGTCTAGGGCTACCCACAATCCATTGCGCCACACAAAGACAAGGGGGTGTGACCAATCAAACACCGCCTCACGCTGAACCGTGTTTTTTTATTCTCCCTCACTGTGTAATGACCATTGACTTACAAGCTGGTGGGTGGGCTGCCAAGAAGGATACCATGACAACGCAACCCAGCTGCTTTTTTTTTGCAATCAATTGCATAATCTCTCTCTCTCTCTCTCTCTCTCTCTCTCCCATTTTCACTGCAGCCATTTTCTCATGGAATAGTAAGTAATCACATTAATTAAGGTTGTGCTTTATTTATCCTTATTCTGAACCAGTCACAGAATTGGACCTGATAGAATTTTTATTCTTCCATAAAACATTAACACAACCATCTCCCATTGTATGCATAACTTACAAGGAAGTCAGGGCTTAAAGAGATCTTCGATTTATAAGAGCACCCTGTATGTCAAGGGTGAACTTAGGAGTAGGTAGAAGTTGACCATTTCCAGCAGTAGAAGCTCCTAGTCTAAATAATGGACTGAATATGGCTGAGGAGATTAATTGCGGAGGACTAGTTTGAAATGATTGTTAACCAGGTTTTTGATAAGGAAGTATTTCCTGGAATGAGAAATAATGTACAGAGGGAGCCAAGCGCCCACTAGTTGTGGCTTTTTTGTAAAGGATGTGACCTTTCTGTACAGCTAGTAGTTTGATCAATGACAAATTAAAGCTTCTAAAAAGGTATTTTTTTAAAAACCTTTTTAATATAGATGTAGTACATGTTGGTTAGTCCAGACAATTGTTTAATGTCTCCTTTGTCAAATATGTTTTCAAATTGCTTATATTCATTTATTAACAGTATTTTTAAATGTATGACCCAAAAAATGTCAGGTGGCTCAACCAAATGTTTGTTAATATATATATATAGTAAAGGTTAGTATATATATATATATATATTATAACATTTTTTAAAATAATTTTATTATCCTTTTTTATCAGCAACATACAGCAACTTTGTAATCCAGTAAGTGCAAAATGCTAATACAGAGGTGTGCCTGTTGCATTTGTTTTATAACAATTTGAAGGTTCAGTGTGTAGAATTTAGAGACATCTAGTGGTGAAGTTGCATGTTGCAACTGAATAGCCCTCATCTCACCCTCCCCTTCTAAACATGAAAGAGAACCTTCACACTAGTGAAAAAAATTACTAGGATTATTATATATAAAATTTCTACCAATAGACCTTACACACTGCACCTTTAAGTGAAATCTTTGGCAAGTATCCTTTAGAGTCTAGACAGGCATTCAGTATTTTAACATCAAAATCTACATTTAAATATTGAATGGTGTGTATTTATTTTCTTTCTTCTTTCTTTTCTAGTCTTGATGACCACTCAAAACACTTTATAGTACAGTTTGCCATTCACACACACATTCTTACACTGCATCAATGGGCAGCACTTTTTTCTATGAGGGGCCATTTGGGGATCAAGGACACTTCAGCATACCAATGAGGAAGTTGGGTTTCTCTATAATAATGTAAGGTCTCTCCCTTACTATTAATATTTTGATACACTAAAAAAGAAACATATCTAAACCCATTGAATCTAATATATCAAAATGTATAAAAAGTATTAAAATAAATCTAATTTTTGCAAGATATACTTTTCTTGCAGCCAGATTTATTATGTGCTCCTTTTGTTGTGCTGATTTGTTTTTACTTGATGGTGGCATCTTCATTTTAAAATGATAGAGTTTATAGCATCTTTGACCTAGAAATAGTACAAATCTAACTAGAAACTCTCTCCTGCCGAGACATTTTGAACGGGTGCCTTGTGCTTGTTGCCGACGCTCGCACAGAGAGACATTTCCTTATAGAGAAAGGACAGAGAGAGAGTGGACCAATTTCAGAGAGAGAGAGAGCGAAAGACATTTCCAAAAGCTGCTTGATTTTATAATCATGCATGATGTGATAGAGAAAGACATGTATAAAAGCTGCATTTTTATAACATGATCCAGGTTGGTGAATGAGAGACAGACTGTACTAATTTCAGAGAGACAGAGGGAAACCATGTTGTAAGGTCTTATCACCATCCATGGCATTTAAATTTTAAAATTCAGGCTTCCTGGGAACATCCTGTAACTATTTGTGACAGACTCCTTCGGGCTTCCTGGTAAGGTCTTGTCATCATCCAGGACTTTTATTTTGAAAAACCAGCATCTTTTAGTCTTCCTGGAAACATCCTGTAACTATTTGGGCATTTTATTTTGAAGGTCCAGCGTTTTTTAGACTTCCTAGGGACATCCTGTAACTATTTGGGGGTTTTATTTTGAAAATCCAGTGTCTTTCAGGCTTCCTGGGAACATTATGTAACCATTTGGGGGGTTTATTTTGAAAATCCACTCTTTTTCCGGCTCCCTGGGAACATCCTGTAACCATCTGGGGGTTTTATTTTGAAAAACCAGGCTCATTACATGTTTCCTAGTAACATTCTATTACTATGGGGGGGCTTATTTTTACTTTTATTTAAATTTTCAACAATGAAGCAAAAACCACCACCCTCACTCAGTCTTGAACCCAGACTTACGTCACATGATGCAAGTGCCTTAGCCACTAGGCCAAAGCAGAGTGTGGTGAAAATTTTGATTTTAGTAAATTTAAAGAGGAGACTCCTCCTCTGTCAGTCTATGGGGTTGCTATACTTACTGATTCAGGACACTCACTGATTTGATGAGGAACACCTGTTGTCCCCTCACTTTCGAGAGCCAAACAAGCTTCAGACCACCCCTCAAACAAATGCTTCTAACTCAAAATCTATAACTCCTATCTGAGAAATAAACACATTGTGAGAATCACAAGACTTTGACCGACGTCCACATATGTATATTTTATTTAATTAGAGTTAAGAAATGACACAGTAAGAGTGATTTAGAAATTTAGTTTTCTCATTAGGAATCATTTTTTGAGATCTACATTGGAGTCAATGGGAAAGCCAGAGGCTCTAGCGCCAGTCTTCAAACAAATGTCTCTTACTCAAAAACTATAAGTCCTATCTGTGAAATGAAAACACCGTGGGAATCCCAAGACTTCCCCGAACTTAGAGATCTATTTTTTATTGGGGAGAGTTCAGAAATGAGACCGTGGGAGCGAGTTAGAATTTTTTTTTCTGTTTTTCTCATTTCTGACTTTTTTTTTCAAAAATTAACATGGGAGTCAATGGAGAAATGAGACTGGAAAAGATTTTTCAAAAAAATGTTCTAGCCTAAACTACTGCACCGAGAGATGTCAGAGTGACATGTGTGCGTAGGAAACAATCTCTATTTTCACCTGCTGGCAAGGCACCCATAATAAGCCAGAGCAATAATAATATAAGTGCCAATGCATTGCATGGGGCAAAGCCATAATAAATGTAATGAAAGATCTGAGACCTCTGAAGAACATATTTATTTCATATAGTGACATTCCTTTAAGTTGTGCTACCTGACCTACTAGTTGCACCAATTGATTTCCTGGTTGCGCCACCCTGAGTTTTGCAACAAATTTCAAATGAAACAAGCTTCTACTTAGATGCTACAATAAGCCTATTTTTGTATTCAATTCAATAAAACTATTTTTATCAAGCTCATACAGATACCTTTGATATGTAATGAAGACAAACCCCACATTTCAGCAAGGTAATTAATCACATCCAAAGACAGCAGGATTCACCCAACCATCCAACAACATCCATATTACTTCAAGCATGGAAATGACCCATGGGCCACCTCATACTTAGCACCCCGTAACCTGCTGAAGATTTTTAGCATGTTGTGTGGTCAGTCCTTAGGAACTTTGAGGACTGATCAGATGGTTTCAGGGCATGGGAGTCAGCTTTCAGCAACAAATTTATGACCTGGGTTTCACTGGTGGTGAGGAACTGGATTTACTCATAAAAAAGTTGGGCCAGGAATCATCAGAGCATGTGAGGAGAATTTGTTCTGCCAGGTGTTTGACCCCAACAAAGCTCTAGAAATGGCTTGAAGTAGGTTAGCCGAGTGCTATGGTTCACTGCGCTTGTTAAGGAGCTGGATGCATTTCCTGAAATGTCTATCAGAGACTACGGCAACCTTTAAGAACGCCCTCTGGTTGCACTGTAATCTGCTACAGATGACTAATAATTACCCGGACTGCCTTGTAGCAAGCAGATTAATCTGGTAGTTGAGAAGCTGCCTCATTACTTACAAGAGACGTATGAAATACACAGAGGAAAGCTATGGCCAGGAGTGTCAGCTGCACTGTAAAACATCCTGGGCTGAACAAAGGTCAGGTTATAGATAAAGGACCAACCAACATTGTAGTGTCTACGCTAAGGGACTTTCATATCTAACCCAGATGTGCCAGACAGAGAGGCACCAACTTCAACTTTTTTGCATATTTCACCCGTGGCAAGACATTAGGACACAACATGATTTATTTATGTATACTTTAGGCATAACTATCCAATATGATCCTATGATCCTAGGTATGTTACACCTACATGTAACATACCTTCTGGTCTCCTTGTTGCATCAAGTCTACATAAAAGTCTTCTGCATAAGACATCAGCTGTTGTCTGAGTTCTCCTTTCACCAGCTGCCAGAAAACTTCCATAACAAATACCACTGTGTAAATAATTAGTAAAACCTTATAATGAAGAAAAATCTGAATTTCAACAAAATAAGATAAATTACCTTTTTTCAACAGACTTATTTCATTTCACATTCATTTGACAGCTATAGTTACTCTTAAAATTAAGATTTTAAATAGATAATATAACAAGCTGTTAAAACATATTGATAAAAACTAAACCTCTGGTTTCAAAACATTTTTGGTTTCTGAAAAAATAATTTAGTAATTTAAGATGTTTTTAAAAGCTTTTTCCCTATTAAGTTCTCAAATGTTTTAATGATCCAGTATCTCACCGAAGATCAAAGAGAGAATAAAACTCCTGATATATCTAACGTCCCTGTATATCAGAACTGGACTTCCCTATACGCTCAGTACGCACATTGTGTAGGGCCCCACAAATTAGCAAG